CGTGCGCTTCATTTATCTTTTCACTCTGGCTCTCTTTACCTGTTTGACACCCTAGTGTCCCTCTCCATTCGTTGTGCAATTTGAACCGTTTGTCCAGTTAAGCATAATATTGCCAGTGTTTGAATGAGAATGTGTATGCTTCTACTGTGTCCTTGCTTTGCTAATAGCCTGGAGAATGAATGCATTCACTCATTCACGGGCCATTTTCTATTCACATACACTGTTCTGCCTACACTCAGAGGAACTGTAAAAGGTGTGCTCTTAACCTCAAATATAAATTGCGTGGTACACTTCACCAAAAGAATCGACGTTAGTTCACATATTTAGAAGATCACCTTGACCACTCACTGACAGAAGCCTTTGTTCTGGACTTTGGGCTGCTTTTATATCAGTATTGATCAACGGCACTATCTCTTATTGATCTCTCCGCTGCACTACTACTTTTGATGGATTGATTGGCAGCCTGTAGCTAGAGACCAATTTGTCAGCGAGCACTGGACCTTGTCAGAGAAGAGCACCATTATGTCCCAATCATGGACAGCCAACAATCCCAGGGGTTGTGTGTGCTTGAGTGTGTGTGGGTAAAGGGGGATGTGACGCTGAGTCTTCACGGTTGGCTTGTGAGGCCGGAGTATGTGCAAGAATGAGGTTGTGCCTCGACTCCCCTGTGGGTTAAAGCATTGGTTCCCAATTTCATTTGACATACCCCCAAATCCCTGAGAGATGGTTTCAAAAGCTGCTTCATCAGGCCGCCTCTCATGGCATTCAGTTGAACTCATTTTAGACAGGATCTGACCTACTCTCAGCTTGCCGTTTACTCTATAGCAATTACATTCGGCATACCATTTATCAGTTATGCTACAGTCACATTGGGGAAAATAGTGGTTGGAGACCGTGGCGTGGCCAAAATTACTTCAACTATGTGCAATGAAGTTGCAGTTTCATAGCCCAGGAAATCGTTGCTTCTAAGGCAGGGACCGGGTTTGCAACTGCTAATCAGTTGCTCCCTTCAAATTGATTTTGGGGTCAAGCTGGTTAGTGATATATTGTTTGTTTGCTGTCTGTTTCTGTCTACATATACAGAAATTCACATCAAAGAGAAATGTAAGTACTTACATTCAAAGTCCGACCAGAAATGCAAAAATTTCACAATTTTTAAATCAAAATGACAAAATGACTTGCTTTTATAAGAGATTTTAACCACAATGCAATTGCCATCAGTCAGACCACGAATCTTTGGAGACAAGTTGCCTCCCGCTGGGAGACCTCTTGTGGTAAATAACCTGCTACTAGCTAAAACATAATCACCGTATGATGGAGCTTGCCTGTTTGCTTAGTTGAATCCAGGTGGTGATGCAGAGGCGGGTTACCGTGGTTGGGGAAAACTGGGTTAAAGCTGAGTCCAACAAAAGGAAGATCAGAGGCATTTTTTCCAAATTGCCCTTTATTTTGCTTCTATTTTCAAATGTCATTACAGGTGGGTCAGTGACATTCGAATAAACATGTTTGCATGTGTTTTCCCCCTTCTGTTTGTAGCAGCAGTTATATCCTCCAAATGGTTGTGATTCAGCTGCTGTACATGATGATTTGTGCCCCTAGTAATTATACCTTCCTTACACTGGGAGAGAGAGTGTGTTTGTGTGTAGGGGGGGGAAAATGTTGTTGTTATTCTTAAATCCCCACTCGATGCTGGCTTAATCATTGTCTGACTTGTCTTTGGAATGGCTGTAATTGAAACATTAGCTGTTCGGGTCTATATACAGCATGTGGGCGGATCGCGAGCGCCTTGTGGATGGATTTTAATCATAAGCCTCGATCTTAAGCCGAACCGACTCGTGTACTTCACTTCTCCCTTTGTTTTTATGTATGTATTTATTTATTTCAAGTGTCATGTCCTCCCTTCTTGTCCTTTTCATTCTCATTTCCCCTATGCCGCTTTACATGCGTCGGCCTAGGTGAATCACTTTTATGTGTTTTAAAGCAAATTGTGCACCTGCAAAAGAAGTGTGAAAGCAATCAATCCATTAGCCGGCGCTATCGACGTTCTTTTAACAACCGACGACGCGTGCATCCGGAAGCAAGCTCAGTGTCGACTTGATAGGCGCTGTGTACTTAGTGCTCCTCCACCCAGCTCGCAGGCTAAGAAAAAAAGGACAAGCAACCAAAAGGAAGCATTTACTCAAACGTATTGACCACTTTTCATGAATTTTTCATCGGCTGCTCAAGGCGATGGGTTGCCAGCTGGGTGCGTTGAGAAGATGAGGAGCCCATTCGATGCTGCTGACCACACACAACCCCACCCCCCCCCATCCCCCGTGGGCCATCACCGCATTTTAAAGGTTTATCTCCTTGAACCTTTTAAACACCTGAGTGATACTGTACTTTAGAGGCCCTCTCCACATCTCTATCACCACTATGACTCACCCAACATTAGACTCTAGGCCTAAAACTGCCTCCGGCTGGCGTTGTCCTTGGCAACAACTTGAGAGCCACGACTTATTCTCTCTCTCTCTCTTTGTACTGTGTATATTTCAGCCTTGGTCTCTCTACTATTCGATCTTGTGTGGTTACCTCAGAGTAGGGTTGAGGAAACATGTTGATCTTGCACATATTTCTCTCCACAGGCAGGGCGGGCAAAAGTCCAGCGCTGCTAGTGTGCGTCTCCAGAGGAAACGCTCCTCTAAAAGCTAAATCCCACCAATACTCCACCCGCAAACACCCCTCACCTTCTGCTCAAATCCACATCACAACCCACCTTTTTACAAGCACCACCTTACTTGACTGTGTAAGGTCGATATGCAGACTTCTGGGCCTGAAAATTATCTATTTTCTTTCACCATCGCTCACTGATGGCACCTGAAAGCACTTGGACAAGGAGTTTCCTACATAGAGCCTTGTGTGGTGCGCTACTAGAGTCACCGCCTTATCAACGCATCATCGTCGAGCGTTACATTTAATTTTAATGTTGAGAAACTACAACACAATCTTTGGATGTCAGCGGAGTGAGCTGTCAAGGCTAAAAGAGAAAGTCAAATGGTACATTTTCACAGGACCTGTCATTTCTATGCTTAGTACACATTATCTTGTCATCTCAAAATATGCACAAAAGTTGAGACGTAAGCTGCTCAATGCATTATTTTTAAGCTTTACTTGCTTATTATTTTACAGTTAAGTTTAAAATTAAACTTTCGTAGTCTGCTATGGTGTGTTATTGAGATAAAACTACCCACCAGTGTTTAGGTAATTAAACTCGTCTCCTGTTGCATTATTAAAGTGACATACATAATTAATAATCGGTGACAAAGACGCATCAATAATTACGTTCCAGTAACGCATATGAATATCTTTTTAGTGCCATTAGCCTCTGTGACAACACCCATTGGTTTTGGGCTCCACATTTTGAAGCTTCAGTGTTAGCATTTGGTGATTTTTAATTGTTTTAGAGTCAGATGTTGCTTTATATGGATGAAAGACTAAAGTGCTAATTTATCAGTGGACATTAGCTGCCTTTCATAAATTGCAAGGGTGGATCACACAGTCACACATATAGGCTAATTACTAATTAAGTAGAACAGCGGTCCCAACCCCCGGGCCACGGACCGTTTGGTACCAGCCGGGCCGTGAGAGTTGAGGCTCAGGTGTGAAATCTTGAGGTTTTCATGGTTTTTATCGTTAACGCTGTTTCCCTGGGTCTTTTCCCCTTGTTATAGTTGTGTGTCTTATTTTGAAAGAAATGTTTCCACGTTACCATAGCGACCAGAGAGCGTTAAGGGGCAGAGAGGAGGATGTTACTCTCAATGTTGTTGGTGCATTTCCGGAGGACGCTGCTAATAAAGTTACAGAATTACACAGTGAATTCACATTTATTATTATTATATTTACCAAATACCACAGTTTTTGTCTTGCTCCTATCACTTTATTTTGTTGTATTTATCCGCGACACCTTGAAGGCCGGTCCATGAAAATATTGTCTGACATTAAACCGGTCCGTGGCGCAAAAAAAGTTTGAGTCCGCTGAAGGAGAACACTAATAAAGCTCTAGAATTTCACCAAAACTGAAGCAAGAACTTCTAGGTTTATCTGCACCAGATAGAAGGCGATAATATTACTCACGTAGTCCATTAAAACACTCCAAAAGGCTCCAACAACGCACACAAAACACACACAGTGAAGCACTCCAGTTTAATGACTAAAAATGAGTAATAAAAATAATTATCCCCAGAGCTCTTACAAGGTGGGTTATTGAACCTTTAAACTGTATTTTGTAGCAGGTTGTAAATGTGTCTTTTTAATGTGTGTGTTGACTCACATTTGGAGAGAGCCTCTAGTGGCCACTAGAGGAACTGTCTGTTTTTGCCACTTTGCGTTGACTTCATTGGAGGTTACTCTTAATAATGCTAATAGCGCTAATAGTTCCTACGTGTGAACTGATTTGTCAGCGTCACGTTTCAGAGGGAGTCTCTTCCTCGTTAGGCACACTCGCTGCTTTGGAAATCAAGTGGCTTTTATAGACAACTCACTCTCTGACTCATTTTCTGTACATCTGTCCAAATCAGGTGGTTTACAACACTCTGTTTCTCTTAACAGAGTCCACACATACACGTGTGCACATAGGCTTAAAAATATTCAAGTTCAAGTGCTACAGAAAATGCATGGTAAAATGCAACAAAAGAAGTAGTTGCAGAAAAATCGTTTGAAGGTTGGGTTCCTATTCACAGTGAAGGAAAGCGGTGTGAGAGGTAGTATATTGTGCCCGGGAAGCTTTTGTAATGTTCAAAACCAACCAATCTGAAGCCGAAATAACCCTTCATCTATAAAGAATGCGCTATTTTTGAATATTCATTTTGGGTTCTTTTGCTACTTTTAATGATTCGCTGTGTTTATTTGTAGTGTTAATGAATTATATTCATTAACAGGATGACCCTCATGCCAAGGGGAAATGCGCTAATTTCTTCCCCCTGACTCTTCATCTTTGTTCCCTTCTCTGTTTGTCTTCACAGGATCTGCGGGAGGTCTGGCTCAACTACCCACCACACCCCCTGCAGGTTAGGAGAGATATGTTTTATTATTGATGTTTATTTTGTCTGGGTACCTCTCATTAAAACTCACCTCACCCCCAAGACACAAAAGCCTTCGCGAATCTTTGAAGTTTTCTCGTCTAAATGTGCGTGTTATTTTTCTTCTTCTTCTCGTGTGTGTCGGTAACAGAGGTGGGCAAGCTGTTGGGTATTTTGCCTGAGGCTGACTGAGCTCTTTATGGCTGTCACAAGGCTCCCGGTAGCCTTCCACTAGTTTCTATTGTTCTGTTCCCTTGTCTCGATGCTCTCCATTTTGGTCGAGACCCTAATCCGCTTTTTCACTTACTCAGTCTCTCTTGCCTTTTCTCTTTGCCACATCATCCCCCCCGTTTCCCCCCCTCCTCATCCTTTCTCCATCATCCGTCTCTTCAGTCTCTCTCCGTTCTGCTGCTCTTTGCTTTGCATGATCTGCCCAGAAACATTAAACATGTCAACAGTGTTTGTTTGAAATTAGGATTTGGAAGAAGAGATCAAAGATGCCATAACAGGATTACAGTCCCGAATCACATGGGGCCTCCAGGGACCGTCAGGCATCCTTCTCTCTGATGTGTTTGCGAGGAGAAAGTGTTTCTTTGTGTGTATGCCGAGTCGTCTTTAAGCGCTTTATTCTCTTCATCTTGCTGCGTATGTACATTTTTACACATCCTGCTTTTGCCCCCCCAAAAAATAACATTGTGCTTTTTTTGTTTACCTACAACATATGTTTGGGGGTTTTTTTTAATATATCTTAGCCTCCTCAACCCTGTATTTGTTATCCCCAAGATCCACAGAGAGCCTGGATGTTTTTTGTTGATCTTGTTCAGTGCTCAGACTAAACCCACTGTGTACCCAGCAGCCTGTTTTCCTGGTGAGCTGCACAGGCGGTGGCAGCAGTTAATGTGGGCAGGGTGGAGCTCTTGGGTCAGTCCTGCTATGGCTCTGTGGTTCGGTTGGTTCCTCCACAGTGTGCTTGAGTAGTCTCATTACCACACACTGTGCATTGCAGAGGTTTCCTCTGGGTGGTCCTCTGCCAGTGGGATAAGACCTGACTAAATTGTGTCAGCCTCTCGGTAGCTTGAAAGCACCCTGAACCGTGATGTGATCTAAGCTGTATTTACCCTTTAATTGTTTATGTATTTAAGCATATAATCTTGGAATTGGAAGATTAGGCCTCATTCTCAAATATGTGCAGAAAGTTCTCACCCTGAGGAAAAGTTTATATCACCGCGTGCATTTAAAGCTACAATCGCCCATGCCGAGAGACCTGTTGATAACCCCCATCAAAGAGTGCTCCCCAGGGACAAATGTTGACGAGCGGTTGTTGCAGGTTGCTGGCAGGAACTGTGAAGCAGCCGCTCAAGCTCCAGTTACGCAGTTCAATACAAACAACATGTGACCGCAGCAATCTCACCTAGACATGGCCAGGAACCTCCAGCCAAGCTGTTGGGAAATACTCATTGTTCCCTAGCGATTGGAGGTTGCCGATTGGTCTGTAGACCTTGAAGTGGATCATGGAGAAACGAGGGATATTCTAAGAGAAAGGTATGCACTCCTAAAGGCAGAAAGTAGGAGAATTTCCATCAGAAGAAACTGGAAAAGAAGTGTCAGAATCAGAAGCCGAAGAAAAGGCACATCTTTGCAAGAGTGACCTGTGCTGACATAGATAGCATTAACCTATCTGGAGAACGCTCCTGCTGTGAGGCCTCATTTCCAAAGCATTTTCTTTGGAAAAACATTGATTTAAATAAATAAATGCTTGGGCTGCGATAATGGAGTTGATAAATGTTTTTTACCCTGAGACATGGACTATGGCTCGAGTGAAAGAAGAAGGGGAGAAAACAAGCTAATTTTGAGCCTAACAGAAGACCAATATTTGAAAGCAGGCCATGAGAAAAGGAAGGAAGCATGGATGAGAAATTCACGGCCATTGCTTAAAAAATGCTGCCAAGAAATACGAGTTTAATGACTTTTATTTGGATTTTTTAAATATATTTTTTGGGTCTTTAAATAAAGGTTTAATTAAACCTTTATTTAACCAGGACGTCCCTTGAGATTTAAATCTATTTTGGTGTCGTAGGCCAGTCCAGGCGTGTTGTTGCCACCTCTGAGGTGACAGCCCCACTAGGGGTTAAATTAACTTCTCATCAGCACTGATGAAGCCTCTTGGATGAAAGTTAAAATGTCTTCAAGAACCTAAAAGAAGTCCTGTCGCCTTTGACCGAAGCACACGACCGTCATGACCTGAGTGACTGAGTATCTACACAGACATGTTCGTGTTCTCTGCTTCTAACTGAGCCTCTATTGCCTAAATCTGCTGTTGAAAGGTAACAAGGTGTGCCAGCCTCCCCCCCGACCAAGAGAGGGATGACAGGGCAGAGATGAGAGAAGCTACCTTAATGAGGTTTGAGGCGACGGTGATGGCAGCTGGAGGTGGTGTGTGTAATTGTGCGTACACAGATCTTTGTCATAGACGCATACACTACCCTGCAGCAGCCTCACCCTACAGAATACTGCGGATCACTCTGCGCTCCTTCCTTTTTCCTTGATTCACACCAGCACATCATCACCTCCAGCTCTCCAGAATAATTTACCAGAACATCATTTACACTGAGTTTGGATTGCCAAATTCCTCCTTTAGTTTATTGAGGAGATACATGAGAGTCTGGATTTTTTTTATTTTATTTTATTTATTTTTTTTGGCCTCAGAAGACCTGGGCTCTGATTCTGCTTTCTGTCTGGACTGAGCTGAAAGTGATGCTTTGAAGCCATTTCAAACATGTTTTTTTTCCCCCATCTTTTTTCAAAACTGCTGTTGATTCTTCTTTTTTTCTGTCTCCACTTCGTTTGAAGCCTTGCTGCTGGCCATTTCCCCTGAAGGATAAGCTCGCGTCTATGAGTGCTGAACTCGTCAGATGTCGTTAGTTGCGATGCATGACATTTACACGCCTTTCGTTAATTAACAGAACGAGCAAAAAAGGCAGGAGTGAAATGTTTCTTAGGACACACTGGAAGATGGAACCATGACATTACCGGCAGCACTCCAATTAAAATACTGAGTTTAAAAATACATCTCTGCTCTGTGCAGCGGCTCGACATGGGAGACTTTGAGAGCGCTGTTTACTTGTCATTCCATCACGAAAACGCAGACAAAAGAAAGTGCTGGAAAATGAAGAAAGTGGCTATCTTGCCTCTGAGAGCCTTGCGTGTATTCTTTATTCTTATTTTCAGGGTACTTCGTAGTGTAAAATAGAGCAAACTAACAAGGTCAAGTGAATGTGCATGCGTTCCCTTTGAGTGTCCACGTCTCAATGTTTCTGTTTTCTGTGGAAAAGATGTCTTGGTCAAGCTAACAGTTGCACCACGCAGAGACCAATTAGTTCATTCTAGCAGCCTAATTAATGCACCCATAAGGATATCTGTTGATTTAACAAACATGCGTGTACACATTTTCTTTGCATATCATTTCTTCCTCTTCTTTCTTCATATGTTCTTTGTAATGAGCACAGACGAGAGGAAATGCTGTAGCTAAAGAGAGCCGTGGACCCATCTACCTCTGAACTCACCAAGCCCTGGAGCTAATGTTAAAAGCATAATCTATAGCGATTTACACAACTGAAAACCGCTCTTTCAAGTCTCATCACAGTCACAAGTAGGCTCACATAACAAGCCAGCGCATTTACAGTACCACTGAGTCACCAGAGATATTAATTGACTGTGGGAATCATCAGATTTACAGAGAGTGGTGGGGAAAGGGAGCTGTTTGACTTAAAACTTAATGACTAAGAGATTCCATCTGCTCCAGATCATCTGAGTTTGTTTTGAGTCGGAGGAAAAACACACACTCTAAACAGGCCCTAAAGCAGCGCATACTGCAGAGGTTCATCTCATTTACTGAATTTATCTGACACTCTTATGCAGAACGACTTCATTGAGCAAGTTTCTCTTTGGTGTGTTATTCAAGCATCCTTGAAGTGGTCTTGCTGGCTGTTACTAGATACATATTCAGGGCTGTGAGATATCCCAAAGCAAAGAGCACATTTTTAAAATGAATTACAAAACGTATATGCAAGGGCAAAAGAGTAGATTTAACAGCGAAAAGCGATTAGGCGCATCAAACGCGAGCACATTATTCATAACTACGTATCAAATTTTATTCAGAAAATTTCATATTTATTTCTTTACGTATTTATGCCCAGAAGTTGGGAAATTCCTGCAGTACATTAGCCAAAACGTTAAAAATAACCCAAAATGAATTGAGTTAAATAAAGAACAGCTCAATAAAATGAATACAGTGCGTCAAAATTATGATTTAAATGGAGTAAATGAAGTATCAAAAATTAAAACAGGTCAACAGTGGTAATAAAATACCTTGTAAAAAAAGATAAATATAATACATAAGTAACTGAAAAGGTAAGAAAGTGCTGGATAAAAATAAGCAAAAATATAAATAAAGTACAACAAAACACAAAACATTACTCAAAAAATGTAATAACACTGAAAATACTGAACATTATTTCTACTTAAAAACAAGTTGAATACAAAACTGCCAATAGAGCTTTACCGCTTGTTTTTTCTGTCAAATACACTCACTGGCCACTTTGTTAGGGACACCTTCCTAATATCAGGTTTTTTGCCTGATATTAGATTTAACCAGAGTCATTTCCATCCATGATGTCATACGCCTGCTCCACCACATCCCACAGGTGGTGCACTCTTGGATTAAGCTCCGGTGACTGTGGAGGGCATTTGAATACATCGTTGTGTTCAAGAAACCAGTTTGAGATGATTTCAGCTTCGTGATCTTATGAAGCAGGGTGCACTGCGGGCAAAACCCCAACCCTACCCTCTCGACGACGATAATCATATCAGACCACGTTAGCGGCGTTAGAAGACAGGAGTTGAACCTGGTTGGCTGCTGAGTGTATATCCTGTTACAGTGGTGGACGTTCACATTAAACACAGTCACCCTAACTCTGAGTGATGTCAGTGCGAGAGAATTTCCCGTTTGCTAGAGCAACAGTGAGGTGCAGCACTGACAGAGTTTAGGTCAGGGGTGTGTGCAGGGGATTCAGGTTCTTCCTCTTCAATCAAAACACTGAAAGAAAAACAACAAAAACACACAGACTGGTTTTGTGTTTGAGGATATGTTATTATGTAGAAGCAAAGGAGGGTCTTTCCCAAACTGTTAGCACCCTGGAAGCAGTCTGTAATTTAGCATAATCACCGTGCGCTCTAGCACTAAGCTCTCTCTTTACCTGGTCTAAGGACTCGCCAAAAAGTAAACACTGAAAAATTGCTACTCACTAAATGTTGGCTCTGGCTAGTCTCAGATCTATAAAAGATGAGTAGGAGTGTGTCGGGTACAAATATTGAAAAGTGATCTGGCACACGTACGTAGCCTTGGAAGGGTCAAAACAGACCAAGTGCTGGAACTCACTGATAAATAGACGTCTTGTTTATTGTTGCCAACGCCATCATCCTAAACAGGAACAACAGATTTCAGCGAGTGCTGGCATTCTGTCTGTTTTTGTTATATCTATAATGACCAGAGCTCTTTCAGGGCCCCATATCTCGTCAGCAAACCTCCTTTGTTGCGATCTTTGTCCTTTTCCAGGTACAGGAGCCGCAGACAGACAGGCAGCTGATTGAGACGTCGCCGGTCCTCCAAAAACTGACCCAATTCGAGGAGTCTATCGGAGTTTTGTTCACACATGTGCGCCTGCTGGCCAGAGCCTTCACCTTAAGGACCGTGGGCTTTAACCACCTCACCCTGTAAGTACCTCCGCTGTTTGTTTGTGGATAATAGAGTTACGGCCAATTAAAATGCAAAGTGTGGCGCTAGCAGGCCAGATGCAATTTGCAGGGATGCTGCAGAAATAGCCAGACTTTTATCTGCCGCTCCCTTCAGAGGTGATGAGGCATGATGCATTATAATGTATAATATAATCTGAAATGCTGGGAGTTTTATATGTTGAGCATTTTAAATTGTTGTATCTGTTGTGAATGCGGCAGCCGCCTCCTCCCACATCATCATTATGTTTACCCCCTGCAGCTTATACATGTTCTCGCCGTCAGTAAAGCTGCTTCTGTAACAAATGATGTCTTGAATGTCATGTTCAAAGTACCTTAGTGAAAGATGGCTCTTTTTTTTGGTTTGTTTGTTGGCACAAAGCCTAATCCGAGGGTTTCACAGCCAAGAGTGAGGCCCAGGGGACTGTGAAGTCCTCGTGTTTGTAGTCTGTGGTACCTGTGAGGCCATAACCCTGCTGTCACATGGGAAAAAGGAGATTTGATTCATGTCTTATTTCACTGTCCACCCTGTGAACTCCTGGATTCTCATTTAAAGCTTTTTGCTTGTCCGTATTTACTTTGTCATGTATAACACTGTTACACAAAAGACCCTTTTTCAGAAAGTAATATGTTTACTCCACACAATTGAGGGCTGAATCTGAGAAACTAAGGGACACCTTGTCCTTTGCTCCTTCTCCAGCTGGGCAAATAGATTCTAATTTCAATTTCGCTTCCAGTATAAATGAAAACAAAATAATCTGGAAAAAGTTGTTTTTTTTTCCCTTGGGTTTCCTGTACAGCGATGCGTTTTTCCTCAGACTCTGGATTTCCTGATTCTGTGAAAACACTGAAAAAATTGACCGAAGCTGTTTGTGTCTCTGGATCGCTCAGCGTCTCTCAGGCTTTCAGTAACACGTGACAGCGTTACTCAGCCTGGGTTTTATGTCGCTTAAACCGAGGCTGCTGTTGCCGCCCGTTTGCATTAAACGACATCTCGTGATGGAGGCAGGCCGGTTGGGACTTGAGGTTGCTTTTATGAGACTTTATATGAGGCTTTAAAGTCAAACACACTCCCTGATTAAACCCTAACTTTCCACGCTCCACCACCTCTACCTTTTTTATTTCATTTAATTAGATTTTTTTAACTGAAGTATTCAGTTGGGGGAAAAAAAGTTGTATAATAGGACATTTAACCAAAATAATCATGATTATGATTTTTTGAGAGTGGCTGCACCGCCCCACAGTTTGAGATCCAGTGCCCTGTCGCCTGGTTCTTTTGCCAGGTTGTTACTGTAGCAGTCTTCTAGATCATTCAGCTGCTTCCTTCCCATGGTTGGATGCACTTCAACTCCAGCACTGCAGCTGGTGTCAGTCGTCCTGCTCCTGCTCTCCACTGTGGACTAGTTAACAGAATCTTCTGCAGGTGGAGATTAGGTTCAGAGAATGCAGGCTTAAGGCACACTTCTGAATTGGCTTTGCAGTCTAATAGTCAATTTCGCTTTGGAAGGTTCCTAACTGGGTGAAGTGATCCGGAAGTGTCTGTGTGGCAGTCGTAAAAGCTGGGTGAATTCTCCTGGATAAGTTATGGATGGAGGGAATTTGACTTTGGTCATGGGAATCTTAAAGGAAAGGAGTTATGTTGGATCATCTCTCGAGCTAGAAAGAATAAGAACAGATTACTTTGTAGGCTGTCTGCTGGACACACTGGTAAGGGGATTAATGTGAGAACAGTTGGATTCTCTGATAACTGAGTTTCTCTTTTCCTGAGTTGTCAAAAATTCTCCTTCCTTCCTTTCCGTAACCTCGTGACAGTTTCCTTTGAGGTATGTGAGAACTTAGTGTCATTTTTGAACTATTTGCCCATGCTTAGTGGCAGCCAATCAGAAGAAAGTTGCATTTAAAAAAAAAAAAAGAGGTTAAAATGGCTTAAACGGTAAAGATTATTTAACTCTATGAATGTTGCAGGTTTCAAACACAACATATTGATCTAAACATGAGCATTAAACTACATACAATAAAACATATACTAACTCTAAGGTGTAAGTTTGCTTTTTTCCCCTTTTTCTATTAATTACAGTGTTTCTCTGCAGTGCTGCTGTGATTTATCACTGACATTGGAACACTGGAATTTTTTTTCTGCTTCTGTTTTGACATCTGTTCAATAGTCAGTAAAGTTACAAACTTCTACAAGGACGACTTAAAAATTGATCGGGAAGAGAGCGGCCGGGTCTGCCCGAAACAAACTCGTCGTTATTGTGTAGCTGCGCTCGTTTACTCGTCACATGAAAGGCTGAAAAGATTGCAATTTTCATAGCAAAATGTTTCCGCTAATGAGACCGTTCACTCCAATTTGAGGTGTTTCTGATTCAGACTATGAGAGGGTTATTTGCAACTGAAGCTTCTGAGCTCCACCAAACAACACACTAGTGAGTTTGACAGCTAAAGCAAATTAGCCTTGGCAGCACACCTCTGATATCTTATTGGCAGGCTGCACTCTGTAATTGCTTGCTTAGATTTGGACTAGGACATTGCTCTGTGTGCATTTGTGAGTGTGCATGTGTGGATTACATCCACGCACACACACACACTGCTGTGCATGTTCTAATCCATCACTTAAATGTCAAATATCTCTCCAGTCAGGGTCAAAGTTGATTAGAGGTCCAGAGGTTTGTCTCCTACTGAGCTTCACTTTAAGGACTTTCCAACTCAAGGTTGATCCCAATTATATTTTCCAATTTGGTGACCTCACGTTTAAAAACAAATAAATAAATAAAAAATGCAGGGGTGGCAATTTTAAACAAATGTATTTTTTATTTCACTGAATTGTATTGTTGCTTTTCCTGGAGCAAAAACGAGCAAATTAATATATTTTCAGGGTAATTTATGTTCAGTAGCTCATTAGTAGCCAAAGGCATGTTGACCTAAATAGAGCCGACTGACTTGAAAGCTGGAACTGAGCAATGGCTGCCCATAAGGACCAAAGGTTATACCAAAGTGGGTCAGGCTGTCGTGATAGAGACAAGAATAAGGTCAGAAAATGGAAAGGAGGGTCACGCGAAAAGGTAGGCCGAAGATGAGGAGACGGGAGTGACCCAGGACAAGCTGACCTAGAAGGAGAAGACAGTGCAAGATGCAGGGGTGGGAGCTGATGGTGTCTTGATGCGGCGGAGACCGGAGGCTAGCATCAGACAGCAGTAATGGAGAGCTGCGGCCCCCAGGCGATGAGCTTCCTGTCTCCTCTCACAGCGGAAGAGCTGGGTGTGTTGCAAGAATCTCACTGTTAGGGAAAAAGGATGAAACGGGGTCCGGCTTTTTCTTCATGTTCAGTGTTTGTTCAATGAGAGCACGTTTCACTGTACAGCTTTGAAAAGAAGGCATTTGAAACATTTATATGTGCATTTATATTTTATACGGTAGTTTTAGGTTAAAATTGAAAGTTAAAGGAAATTAGTGAATGAAATATTTGTGATTCAGGCTGCTGTGAAAAGCAGAGAAATGTATAAAGTACAGAGAAGCTTCTTTGCCGCTTTATTCTCGGACCTCTAATCACTGCAGATTATCTAATAAAGGGGGCCTGTTATGCTCATTTCCAGTTTCACAGTTTTATTGTTGGACTTGGACAGCTTTGCATGATTCACAAATGCAATTTACAATATTTTATTAAAAATAATCCTTCATCTTATGCTGGGCCTTGATTCAAGAACTGGTGCAGCTCCTGTCTGCCCGCCCGTTAGACTAGCTTAGTTTTGATTGGCTGCCCTTTATAAACAAAAGATTCGGGTTGCTGTGCTCACAGCCGGAGCTGTGCGCCAGAGATGACCATTTCATGGATCTCATCGAGGGCACACGGACCCAGGAGTAAACAAAGCTGACTGTTTAGAGCAGTCTGAATCCAGAACACCTTGTTCAACAAAAGCTTTGTTATCATCTTAAAAGCATTAATATCAGCAGTAAACTAGAAAGAAAACACAAAAAGAAAACAGAGAAGAAACTCTCAGAATAACCAGCCAAACACTGAATGTTATCCATGAGTCATGAGTCCATGAGCTCTAAAAGGTCTCCGAACTTTGTCGAATATTCTTTCAGGACTTGTGTTAAGGTTTGTAGCGTGACGTTTGACGTCACTTGCCTCATCCAGTGGCTAACAACACATCTATGAGGGGTTTTCCCCTCCCAAAACAATGCTGTGAGCTCTTTGGCGTTTAAAAAAAAAAAGATTGAATTAACTGAAATAAGTCCTCATCTCTCTCATACTTAAATATTTCTACTTTTTTCTTCGACCAGTGTCGGTTTAAGTCAAAGGCACTGGTGTTGCTGAGCCGGCCAGTACCTTCGTTCTCTTCAGCCCTTCATCAGATTGCTGATTTAACCACTCCTGTTGTTTTTGCCGCCTCTCTCATAAGTTTACTTTGTTTTTTCAGTCTAATTAAGGCCTCGTCTCTTTAGACATCATATTTTAGATTTCCAGTTAGAAACTACCAAACGAACTGCAAATCTTTAATCTGCTTGATTTTTAATGGAAAAAGTTGAAAAGGCCTTGCATGACCATAAAAGTGGTCGTCAGTGAAGTGTCCAGGTGCTTTTCAGCCTTAAGAAAAATGGGGAGTGTGTCTAAAATTGGCTGTAATTTCTGCAATACTTTCCTTGAGCTCCTTGCATTAAAGAGGCACTTCAATCACATCTTGATTGCCTGGGTTAAAATGGTGGTGTGCACCGAGGCAACTTCACCCAAATTGTGCCTTTACCCAAAAACTATGGACCTAAGGCTACGCTCACACTGGAGGCGAAAGCGCATCAAATCCGATTTTTTTTTTTTTTTTTTTTTTTTTGACCCTATGCGACCCATATCCGATCATGGTATGACAGTGCAAACGGCACAAATCCGATATTTTCAAATCCGACCTGGGTCACTTTCGTATGTGGTACTGAATCCAATACATATCCGATGTTTTAGAAAGCGACTGCTGTTTGAACGGTCATGTTGCATTAAATCCGTCTTTTACGTCACTGACACAAGACAGACGCCAATTATCAGCGCCCGAGAAGACATCGCGAACGCTTCCTGGCCATCCAGTATAGATGTCAGTGAAACTGTTGGGAAGACATCGTTGGAGAAATGTGAACATTTTATTTGTACTGTATAATCTGCAGATTCTGACAGAAATCTGCAGCTATCCTTTGAAGCACCGCTCCTCTCTTAAACAGTAATAAGGATCATTGTTAGGTTATTTACATTATTATGTAAATAACAAAATAACTTAAAGCAAAAATTGAAGTCTGAAGTCTTTATATTAAGGGCCATCAGTCAAACAACACTGTTTGCTCTGGGTCTGAACAGAGCGCGTTGTGTGTGACGTCTTCTTTTGTGCATGCTTTGAGCGTTCACACTAGAGCGCGTTTGCTGTCGTATTTTAATTGTAGTGTGAACGAGCAGACAAAAAAATCGGATTTGATCAAAAAATCGGAATTGAGCATTAAGACCTGCAGTGTGAACGTAGCCTATGTATATGTTGATGTGGGTTTTACAAAACCTCTCGGCTTTAGATACTTTGAGAAGTGTTTATGTTTAAGCATTCACTGTGTATGTATGTGATGGATGTAAGCCAACGCGTAATAGGAATTTGCAGTTTACTTTAGTTTGAAAATAGAAATTAGAAAATAACATTGAGCAGTGACCACTCTTTAAGCAAATAGAATTCCACTTGCATGATCTCCTATAAAGAATTTCCTGACCGTGAGATTGAATAAGATGAGCTCAAATAATGCAAGCTTTCAGCCTGTTACATTACATAGTTTATTAAATAGTTTGTAAATTAAGCTTTTATATAAATCTAATTCCAGCTTCATTTTCTGTTCAGTGCAGCTTTGCTAGAGGAGACCCTGAGATTTCTTTCTGTCAGAGAGTCATTTTAAATTAAAACTGCTCTTTTCATGCGGTGCAAATGGTTTCCCCCCCTTTTTTTCCCCGGTTGCCTAAAATCACTGTTTCCTTACGTTCGGAGTCCAAAGTGACCGCTCCAGTTTCCCCCAACTAAAGCAAAACTTTGTCAAAAGTAGTTGGCGATTACACATCTGAAGCTTACACAAGCATGCACATATGAAACAAGAACATTATTTCCCTAAAAAGAGAAAAATAGGCTTTAAAAATGGTGCATTTGCCCCTTTTTGGAGCGGGCAGCCTGTCGCCGCCTCTTCAGAGGGCCTGTTAAAGGTATTTTAGATCAAAGTCAAAGGCGAATAAAGACCTTAGCTCCACACTTTACTTCAATTTCCCCCACCTTACTGGAGCATTGTGCCTCTGCTGTTGAAGTGAATAAGGGATGGCTCTTTGTGCCGCTTCACACGGCGACGCATTCCTCTTTGACCTACTCTATCTCTTCTTTTTCCCCCCATCTCTTGCCTTTTTTTCGTTTCATCTCTCACTGTCACTCCCCTCTTTGCCTTCCCGCTCTGCCTCCTATTGGATGTGAAATTAGCTCACACTACACCTTTTCAATCGTCTCCTATCCACCACATTCTTTCTGGCATCCCCGGTTTTACTCAGCTCTCAAACGGTATACGTGATAGATTTTGAGCCTTTTACCACACGTGTGCACATGTACAGTGCTGAGGTGCAGGATGAAAACTGACTGATCTCTGGTCTTTGTTCCCCTCCCCTTGTCCCCCTGCTTTTCCCAACCTCAGTTCTCCACGCTCTCATGAAGCAGAGCCTTTTCATTAAGACGCTCTGTGATTATTTTTAATGTGGAGTCTGCATTAGGCAGTGTCCCTTCACTCCTAATGAAGCTCTGTCCTGGGCCTCGAATACACAGTGATATCAAAAAGTTCTTGGTGTATCAACTGTTCTGTGATCTTTGAGTGCGCAACAATTCAAATCGGTTTCTTCTTTCTTGTATTAAACATCTAAATATTTAAGAGGAGTTTGAGTGACAAGTAAAATTAATATAAAGAGTTACGAGGAAAATCGATTAAACGTGAAGACGGCAACATTATGCTGGTGTTGTAGTTTGAAGTTAGCACTCCTACTTCTTATGCTTCTGCCATCATCAAGTCAAATAATAAAAGAAATAACAATACACATAACAGCTAAAACAAAAGAGCAGCAACAAAACTTTGACAGTGGACACAAAAGCAGTTTTTAGAACTGATTAAAAAAAAATTGTCATCTGTCAAGACGGGTTTCTACGAGGCAGGTCCGGGCCCAGTCGCCGTTCATTCTTAGGTGGGCCATTAGGAGAGACCCACTTGGGTGGATTTAAGTTTGGATGAGTTTCTCTCCTTGTGCACCTGTAGAGTGCTTCCAGCATGGCTGCTAATATTAACTCTCTTCCTGAAAGTAGTTTGTTTACTACTTGAAATTCACCACAGGCCTCCGAGAGCCTTTTCTGTTAAACTGACCAAACTTTCATGTCAAGGATCATCAGCGATGCTGAGATCTGGGTTTCTGGCTACAACTCAATAACCAAACAGCAGCCTTCAGTGTTCAAGCTCAAAGGAAATGCATTAAGTCTGGAGTGCAACCAAGAGCATGCTCACCATTTTGTTTGACATTCACGGGGTTGTGCACCGTGAAGTCGTGACCGAATCGTTCCAAAATTCTACTTTAACATCCAGAAAACCACAAACCTGAACTGTTGGCACCAAGTGCACTGAAAGGGTTTTTTTTTTTTTTTTTTTTACATCCACAAACTGAAATTAAAATTGTTTGGGCGCACTGGATAAGATCCCAGACATATTGAGTCACAAGTGCATGTGGTGACAAAACAACTTCCAGGGTGTGATTGGAAATTAACAGCCATGCTGGAAGGCTACCTTGAAGGGGAGAAATTGAAATCACGTGTGGTCGTCACTTATTTTGTGGACATAACTTTATAATTACACCCAAAGCCAACTACACAGGTGTAAAGGCTTAGCGAAAACTTCAACACTGTACGATCGTTTTTAAAAGGATGACACTTGATAATACTTTTCTGATGCATTGAGTTTTAGAACTGTCGGTCCAGTTCAACAGTTCTAGTGTATATTTTTCATTGTAAATGGTAAACGGGCCGGTACTTATATAGTGCACTTTTACTCTACCTGAGCACTCAAAGCCGATTTCATCCATTCACACACGTTCGCGCAGCACTTTATTCCATGCCTTTGAGTGCTTTCTAACTATCTTGCGCACACACAAAGACACACAGACTCGGTATCTTGCCCAGGAACACTTTGATATATGTTCTGGAGGAGCCGAGGATTGAGCCACCGACCTTCCGATTGGCAGGCGGCCAGCTCTGCCTGCTGAACCACAGCCGCCCCGAAATAAACAATTGGTCAAAAGAACAAAGAAAAAACAAATGAAGACTTTAATCAAAAATCTAGACGGACACATTTCTGCTTAATATGCTTTAACTGCAGTTTCGCTCTGTTTTAACCTCAGATCTCTTTGGCGGCAGCTCATAAAAGGCAGAAGCGCTAAAAATTGGACAATAAACTTTGGCCTTTTTCTCTCTTTGATGTCAACCACCTCCTCATCTTCTCCCTCTGTATCTTCCTCTCTCATCTTCAGACTTCCCCTCCTGCGTGGAGCTCTTAGCTATAGATGGATATGCGCTCTGCTGCTGAATATACCTCCCTGCTTGCATGGCGCTAGCTCACGCCCACCCTACCCGACGCTTCCTGCCTGCCTGGCATGGCACCAGCCCACATCTGCAATGCTAATCTATAATTCTGTTTAATTAATGACCATTACAGCAGCAACAGCAGTTGCGTACCCCCCCTCACACCCCTCTCGTCCTGCCCTGTCTAACACTGTGCGGGGAGTTACAGTATCCTCCCTGCTTTTCACTGGTAGTGGAGAAAGGCAGGGAGCTGATGTACAGTATCACAGTGCTGCCATGAGCTTTTTCCAGGAATTGTTGGAGGGTTAAAAGATGTTCTCTAAAGCTGCGCGCACAGTTGCTGCCTTTTGTAGGCTTAGGATTTTGACAGGCTCTCCTGCAGGTGCACCAGAATTTGTCTTTTCTTTCTTTTTTCTTCTTCGTACCTTTAAATTTGAATTGCAATCAAAGCTGAAGGATTTCTTCATAAGGGCCTGCTACTTCAGGCTGCTTCCGACTTGTCACACACCCTGTCAGTGCAGCTGTTCCCAGAGGCCACCCATGAAATGTACATCAGCCGACTTTACCGTTTCTGTTAAAAGACTAAAAGCTCGGTAGATTTGTCGAGAGAGCGCGATGCCTTTCATGCCCCATTGATGTGTACATGAATGACCTCATGTGAAACGCTCCCTGTTCCCCCTTTTTTTAACCCTCCTCCCATCCCACATATCGTTTCATTCCCCACATTATCCTTCGGTAACCTTGTGTTTTCTCTCCATGCCTCGCCTCTGTTTACCCCACTCGCTGTTCCTTTATTTTTCTTATCCAGGGGCCACAACCAGAGGATGGAGTTCCTGGGAGACTCCATCATGCAGCTGGTAGCCACAGAATATCTCTTCATCCACTTTCCTGACCACCATGAAGGACATTTAACAGTAAGATCAAATCACTTAAAACACTCCCCTAAGGCTTTTTTTCCACCTGCAGCCATGTACTTCTCACATCTTCCTCTTTTACACCCGTGTTTGGTCTTTATTCCACCGTCTCCTGCCTTTTACATCATTTGAGGGGTGATATTTCTTTCCCCACCTTCTTCCCTTCTCATAAATCTGTGATCTTCCTCTTTTTTTTTTTTTTACCTTTTTGCTTCCACAGCTCTCTTCCACTCACCCCCCCTCATGCTGTGCCTGTATGTTTACTGTACTCCTCGTGATGGGTATTGTCATGAGACGGAACTGTTCAGTGGTTTTCAGCAACACATCTTTGTTGGCACATTTTTGCAAAAGCTGTCAAGTATCTGAAAAATAAAGTCGCGTGTGCGCGAACCTGCACGGCTTGTACCACAGGTACAAAGCAAATGATCACACTTTGAACACGCAAGTCCATTTTCCGACGGCGTCAAACAGCATTGCGGCGCCGTCTTTTTAGTCGAGCATCAGCACTTCTCTTCAGAGGACCCCACTGCTGGAGGCTGCAAGGATCGAGCTGGTCTAAAAACTGAATAAGAACCTCTGCAGTTATTTTTTTATTTTATTTTTTATGGATATTTCATGACGTAATTTTTGTAAAAGCATCCAGCGAGCTTTGGTTTAGAGACTGAAAGCTCCAGCAATGCCCAAGAGTCAAGACGGGGTACATCTGAAATGGATTTCAAATCGGGAGGAAGAAAAAGTGCCCATTCAACTAGTGCGTGTTTCTGTGGCTCCAATTGTGATTGCGTGTGTACTGTTAAGGAGGGCATATCACAGCAAGACACATTCAGTCATATTGCATTCCATTTGCTCTTTTCCACATCTTGTAGCTATATTTAAAGTGTTTTTGTTTTTCCTTTTAGGGACTTAAATGTACTTCAACCAATCTAACATGTTGTAAAGGCGCTCAGCTCCAAGTCACAATGCAATATTTAACAGACTAACGTGCAATCACCCTGAAACATTTATTCAGCGTAACCATGTCTGTCTTTGATGAATTATTTCATGTTTCCCTTCCATTTTGATGTTCCTGTGTACTTCTGCAGTGTGGATCTTACTCTGGTGTTTCCAGTGTTCTGACAGGCGGACTTTAAAATGCGATCCTCTGTTTGTTCGCCCGCAGCTCCTCCGTAGCTCCCTGGTAAACAACCGCACGCAGGCCAAAGTGGCCGAGGAGCTGGGAATGCAGGAGTTCGCCATCACCAACGACAAAACCAAACGTCCAGTCGCGCTGCGGACCAAGACTCTGGCCGACTTGTTGGAGTGTAGGTTCCCAGCTCTTTGATTCATCTCTGCAAATCTAAAATGACTAGAAAGACCGTCTTTATAGACTTTTATACACCCGATTCCTTTTCTTGTATGTCTCTCCAGAATGTGCAGTTTAAGATGGCAGCATGGTGTAACATTATTGATTTCTTTGTTCGCTCTGTGGTGGATGTCAAACAAAGTCACTTCTCTGCTTAAGAGGCTGGAAAATGCTCCCTGTGTGCCGCTGTAGTTTTTATTTTGGGCTTTTTTTAATCTTCCTGCTGCAGTTGCTAGATTTTCTCATAATTAATGAGCTATTAATTGGCTTGTGGTTCTGCAGGCTTAATAAGACTTTTGTTTTTTACCAGTATGTGACTTGCAGTACAATAAATGTATGCAATATCACTGGATTCATCAGAACTGCAGTCTGGATGGGTCATGGGAGTTTGACCACCAGGTCTACATGACGAGGTTTATGACCGCACTCCCAAAATTACATTTTTATAGCCCATCAGGTTCTTGTATAACCAAAGTTAGAGCTCTTTCTGGCATAAAGTCAAGCATATTTACAGTGAGTGTCAGACTCCTCTAGGACTCCCCCTTATATCCTATCCTGTTTGTGATATTCATAGACAGGATCAGCCCTAGGTAGGAGGGGGCTGATCCTGTCCATCTATCTCGAGAACCTAAAAAAAAACAATCCTGTTTCGTTTTGTTTTTCATTATCTTCATCAGAGCTTGGCCTTCAACCTTTAAATGCACTGGAATCTTTTGCAGCCATGATAAGAGTCAGTATACCTGCAATCTGAGGGCATGACTCTCTGCTGAAAAATGGTGGAATAGGCTTAGCAAACAGGCTTGGCCAACTCCAGGCCTCGAGGGCCGGTGTCCTGCAGGTTTTAGATCTCACCCTGGGTCCACACACCTGAATCAAATGATTAGTTCATTACCAGACGTCTGGAGAACTTCAAGACATGTTGAGGAGGTAATTTAGCCATTTGAATCAGCTGTGATGGATCAAGGACACATCTAAAGCCTGTAGGACACCAGCCCTTGAGGCCTGGGATTGGACACCATTGCCATAGCAGGTCACAGTAGACGCACTTCTCTTTTCTGTTGAAAAGAGTCAGTTGAGGCGACTCAAGCTTCTGCTTAGGATGCTTCCTGTGCACTTCCCTTTGGAGCAGCGGTCCCCAACCCATGGACTGGTACCAGGCCCCGAGAGTTGAAGCTCGGGTGTGAAATTTCAGAATCAGAATCAGAATACTTTATTGATCCCTGGGGGAAATTATTTTTTATGGTTTTTATTGTTTTTATCGTTAACTCGGTTTGCCTAGGTCTTTTCCCATGTGTTAGGAATAAATCTTCTTTTTTTGGGGTACCGGTTTTATTTTGTTGTATTTATTTGCGATACCTTAAAGTCCGGTCCGTGAGACTATTGTCAGACATAAACCGGTCCGTGGTGCAAAAAAGGTTGGGAACTGCTGCTTTGGAGGATTTCTGGGAGGACCCAAACCCGCTGGAAATATGATATATTATGATATATAGGTGGGATGCAAAGCAGCTTAAATAGCACCACCAATATAAAGTCTTTTCCAGACATGGAGTTTGTAATATCACTGTGCTCTTCAGTCTGTTAGAGAGATGGCTTTCTGTCTCTTAGATATGGCCCACTACTTCATTCATACATATCCATAACAAGCCATATTACTTGCAGTATTATAGATAATAGTTTTCTTACCATGGCAGCTATTTTTGTGTTCGCTGCAATGTTTATGGGGCCACAGCTAAGCATAAAACAATCGGTGAATTGTCTAGTTGGATTTTTCTGCTCCTGCTTTAATGGACATTTTGGTATTTCTGGTTATTATCAGTGGCAGTGGGCAGTTAATCCCCACGATGTGCAACTGGATTCTATGTGGAAATGACCAGGAAATGGATACTGACACCACACATGACAGCGTGTCTCATAACTAAAGATTAAAATGCTGAAAATACAGCCAATATATGTGCTTCAAAAGTGGTGGGTTTGTGCTTTTGTCTCTTTGCTGTTTACACAAAGAGAGTGAGTTTGTTTTTTAATGATTAGCTAAACAGAAAAATAGAAATAACAAAGAAGTGAAAAATAATGTGCCCCAGGGCGCTGGCAGTGAGTAGGCAGCACCTGCCACTGTCATTCAAATCTATTTTAGTATGTATAAATTATAATGAGTACAAGTACAATATAATTAGTGTTGGACCACCTGTTTTTCATGATTTTGGTCATATTTGTGCATTTTAGTCTTGTTACTGTGGCTCTGGTGATAAGGACCTATGTTAATTTTACCTGCTCTTTAAGGTGTAAACAGGGGTGCTGCCACAGTGAGGAGAGTTCAGTCCATCAGGGTGGTACTTCTGTTGTTCTGTCAAACTCATCTGGTAGAGTTTGTGGGTGGGAAGCCTGTCAGGGATCAGCCCGTGTCACCGGTGCTTTTGAGACTCTTTTCTGACAAGCGAATTAGAAATCCATGGCCCTTTTCTAGGCCGCTCTCCATCACAACCAGGAAACAGCCAACAAGCAACTAGGCAAATAAATCAGCCCATAGTAACTTATTGGAAACATGCCATTACTGTATGGGAAATATATGCTGGAGGCCATTAAGAAGCTGTCTCTCTGTGGTGCTCGATACTTTCCTCCCACTGCATTACGCTGACAGATTTATTTTTTCACATGTAAAATGTAATTTTCTACATATACATACTAAACTCGTATGATATAGTAGCACAAGTGCATATCATTAAACAGTAAGAGGATTGTTATTCTACCTGCAGCAACTTAAATTTGGTGGTGCGGCGCTGTTTTGGGGGACGGGACCTCCACAGACATCCATGGAAAACAGGAGCAGAGCATTCATGACAGTAGATGTGGTTCTTCAAATAGAGAACCTGGGGTGGAGGGTGAGTTGGGCATTGTGCTCCACAGTCCGATCATCCTATTGTCCCTCTGGACGATCGCTGATGACCGATAGCACCACCTGTGTGGGAGGCAGAGGAGGTTAACATGTACCCATTATCCACCCACCGTAATGTACAATGTGTGACCCAAACACAGGAAAAACTCCACAACACGCAGGGAAAAGAGTTTATTTCTCACTTCCAGCATGATGAGACACTTACATGTTGACATACTGTACGATAAATGATTTGGCTTTATTGTAAGTAATTAACATAAGTGGACGGATGTCAGTCCAAACAGATATATAACATCTGCACGGCTCTTTACTTCAGACCTATAGTTCTCCTAACTCATCCAGTCTGTTTTCTGTGTTTTAAATAGTTCATTCCTGTCTTCTCCGCTTTGCGTCATGATCTCCGCACACACAGCAGAATTTTCCACCCACAATAGCGCCCAGTGGGGGGCGGAGATAAGAAGATGAAATAAACAAAGGCCTCTTCAAGTGCACTAACATTAAGCTCTCGTTTAAAAATCAAGCCAGCAGTCAGAAATATACATGTCTGTCATACAAGTTATAAATGAAGATGCCAAATAAAACGACAGTGAGGCAGATTCACTGTATTTTTAATTAAATTGATCACTAAATTTGATTATGGTTGATACCCGATACAGCCCTACTCAAGGGGGGTTGCTGAGCGGCTTGCACAGACAGGCCTGAGGAGCTTAAATAAAACACTTTATAAGCTGACGTGAGCTGGTGTTCAGATCAGCTTATCTGCGAGGGTTTGGCCCTTAATAAATTCCAGTATTGATTGGGCTGTAACAGATTGTTCTGGCAGATCTCGAGTTTTTTTTCATTGCCTACCTATCACATATAAATGTCCCTCAACCCTCAAGCACCTAGGTGTACATCAAATCCGATAAATTAAGCTAGAGATAACATTCACTTGATTTCAATCCTGCAATTAAAGGAAGTTCATGGTGAACTATAGGAAGGTGTAAGCTGAACATGAGCGCAGGGATTTGCATGCAGAGGAGAATGGAAACGGAGAATTGGAGGAGACCTTTTGCGGTCCACATTAGGCCAACAGGGGGAGCAGGCAGGGACAGGAACTGTGATACAAAGGGAATAGCAAATGAGCCATTCCAGTTTGGTAGATTAAATGAGGAAAAAAAGACTAAAAAGCACTAATGTTTTTCAGGCCAGCGTTCAATAGACAGACCATAATGCATGAATCACAAAACAACACAGGGCTTCATATCATTTGCCTTTCAAATCATCCCTCAAAAGTTTGCAGCGGAGCAGAGTTGATGACACGGGAAGAGGACGCGGGGCAGCGCTGGAGATGAGTGCAGCTCTTCTGTATATGAACAGTTGTGCCCTGCAGCTACAGCGGGCCCTCACTGGCCTCCTGAAATATATTACCTATTATTTCTCTCTCATGTCCCACTGTCTTAGTCACAGGGATGAGTGAATGCAGTGGCATCTAATGGAAGGGGAAAACAAAGGGACAGCCATGAGATGAAGATGACACCCAGCACCTTCTGCTTACATTTCGGTTTTTTGGTTTTTTTTGTTCTCAGAGCAGTTAGGCCGCCAGTTATTTATTCAGCTTGACATACAATTTTATCTTATATATGACATGTTTCTCTGAACTCTGTGTGGCCCTTGTAGTTCCAATTTCCTGTGTGATAGAAAAGGACAGTCGGCTACAGAGCCATCTTTTCCAATTGTTAACATTAACATCACGTCCCTCGCCGAGGGAGGCCGCTGCTCGGGTCTCTCTTCTGGTCTTTGTTAATGTTTTATTTACTACAGAAGCAGAAATGGAGCTGATTGTTAAACAAAGCAAAGCACCCACCTCCTTTTTTTTTCTCGTTTAAAAAGGCGTTCTGTCTCTTTTGTTTTCGCAGCTTTCATCGCAGCTCTCTACATTGATAAAGACCTGGAGTACGTGCACACATTCATGAACGTCTGCTTTTTCCCTCGACTGAAGGTGAGTCCCTATTGATAGCTGTTCACCGCTCGCACCTGATCAATGAGCTGCTGAGCCGAGCACCTAAGAGAGAGACGGGGAACGAGCGAACCGGGGGGAGATGATGAGGAGGGGAGCTAATGGCAGGGCCCTAATGGCACTAGCATCGACGTGAGGCCTGAAGTGGTGCTTGGCTTTTGAATGCCTCTCACAATGGCGGCTTGGGTGGCTATTTTAGTCATCTTTAATGGGAATCTCAACGGTGTTGGGATGCATGCATTGGCTTGTTAATGTTAGTCGTCTGTGTTTTTCTATTGATCCGAGAAGTGCTTGAAGTTGCTGACGGTATCCACTTCTGGAGTGTTGCGAGAGCTGAATAAGTAGGCTTCAGTCAAAACTTCAATGGCAAGATGCGCGTTAGGAAGGGACGGGCATTATATCCTTAAGTGCTCAAGTCTAAGTTTAGATAGAAGAGCTCTGTTTTTCCCTTTATTACCGCTGCTGCAGTGAAAAGACAAACTGAAACCGGGTGTCCGTACACACACGCGTGCTCGTGTACGAGTTTCCCACACAGCGCGGACCTCTCCTTGTGAAGCTGCTGCAGCGGTCTGATATGCCATGCTAATTGCTGTCTTGGTGTGCCTCTCCAGGGAGAATCCCCAGCTCTAGAGGAGCTGAGCTTTGCGTCATGGTCGCTGCAAGAGAGCACCTCATTTCCACTTCCAAGAGAAAAGTTGTGAAACAGCCAGCATGTCTCCTTACATAGCCCTCTGGAAACCACAGTGTTGCAAACTGTGCTGCTTCATCCAATTTAGATGGAAATAGAGAAGCAAAACCGGGAACATAAATCCTTTCCTTATGTTCGCAGTTTTTTTTCTTCTTCCCTCCATTATGCATGTTAAGGTGTTTGCATGAGAGTGAATGCATCACCGCACTCGAAATGTACAAGAGGTAGGCTATAAGCTGCAGCCAAATTTCTCAGCCTTCAGCGAAAGGAGTGTGGATGCCCCCCGGAGAGAGGAAAACCGGAAAGGAGGAAGAAGGGGAAGCAAAGCACGAAAGCAAGAACAGTAGAGATGGAGGGGCTGCGAGGGAGCTGCAAAGCGAGAGAGAAGCAGAAGCACTCTTTGTAGAAAATTAATAGGAGCAGACAGTTCTGGATTCAAAGTCTGCCTTTTTATGACAAGGCTGCTTCCCTGTTAATGGAAGGGCTTTTAGAAGTCCCCCTTGGATAAGAGAAATGTATCAGAGCTGCACACCTGGGAGACTCCCAGACGCTCTTTATTTCTGGCCGGGGATTGGCTTTTGTCTTAAGTAGCCTGTGATTTGTGCTCACCGCCAAGTCATAGATGGAGAGCCAGTCAGAGAGAGCGCAAATAAGTCCAAAAGGGGGTAAAAGCTTGGAGATGGCAGGAATGAAATAAAAGCATGAAGGAGTGAAGGAGAACGGTTGTAACTGCAGTTCATTTTCATTGTTTCTGATTCTTTGAAATGAGTGGGTGAAGAGAGATAGTTTGGTCTCAAGTGTGTGTTGTTTGTGTGTTGCAGGAGTTCATTCTGAACCAGGACTGGAACGACCCCAAGTCTCAGCTGCAGCAGTGTTGTTTGACCCTGAGAACAGAGGGCAAGGAGCCTGATATCCCACTCTACAAGTAAGGCCACCATATTACCGAGGCTTGCATAAATTTCTTTCGGCATTATCTAGAAGTACCAGTGTGTGATTAGAGGTTAGTCTTTTGTGCTTAGTTTATATTTAAATACAAACTAAACAGTTGTAATTTCTTGGCCCCATCAGGCAAGTTTCTTACCTGAAAGCCACACTCTTCATTGACATAAACCATACAACAGAGACAACTGTTCAACTCGAGGCTTCATCATAGTGGCAATTCAGTACGGAATCAATAAAGTTAAGAATTCTACTAATGTCAAGAATCAAACAGCTCCTAGAACTTCAAAAACTTTATCAAAAACTTCACATGGGCACAAAAACAAACAATAAAACTCTTGAGAAAACAAGCTAAAGCTAATTCAGATACCTAAAACATGGTTTTGAATTTCATATTGGCTATTTTGTAACTTTAGCTAATGAAGTAATTATCCAATAGTGATTTATTACCTAACCAACCCCTGGGAGTTAGCCCAACTAGCTACTCAACATGGTTTGCACATTTGTCTAACAAGTAAAAGTCCCTCAGTGTGATTCTGGGAGACACAAATCAAACAGTACCGAGCTACCTGCTGTGGAGGACTCCTTGTGAATAAGGGAGCAGCTAAAAATAGCTTTGAATTCATTCAACTTAACATCTGGTTAAGCTAGGTTGTTAGCATCCAGCCTGGTTCACAGGCAAGCTAACATTACCTACCAGGATACTGAAAAAAGGCAGCTACCTAACTTAGCAAAGTATAATATCAGCTAATTCAACCAAAGTGCTCATTAAATAGCCATTCATTGTAAAATGTCTTTATCAGCAAATGTTATAAAACACAACAGAGTCACACAGCTTGCTAACCGTAGCTTGCCTGCTAACGAATTTAATTGTTTGCAGACTACTGAGCGGATTCTGGGTGGCTAACTTGCTGAATTTACATTTATGTCTAAACATAGCTTTCTGCAGGACTAGCAGAAAGCAGTGCAGCAAGGGTACCCTTTCTCCCTTTTTTGTGCTTTTCTTTTGTAAATACTGTTTTGGTCATTGCTTCTTTATGCTTAGAATTGTAGGCACACATGGTCAAGGATTTTTATCTTCATCTTTAACTCCGCTCTAACTGATTAAACACTACTTCACGCTATTTAAGCTATTTGGTCATTCATTTTTTCAGAGCAGTTTCAAATCTTCTATGGCTTATATACAGTGATGAATCCTTTAACTTTTTATATAGCTGCATATTTCGATTAATGTAGTAGCCATTTATATTTTTGCAAGTTTTTTTTTTTTTAAGCAGTCTTAAGATACATTCAAGTGCTGCCACTTAAACATTTTAAGCATAAAATACATATTGAATTTGAACATGACATCTTATTAGCAATGGTAAGAAATTCAATTTTTGAGATTAAAGATCTAATCTAAGTGTGTATACACATGGTTGCACCGTACACTTGATCAGTCTCTTTAGTGTGAACCCAACTCTGCAGTCCAGAAGGGTCAGGCATCACGTGGGCTGCAGCACAAATTCAGGGAAATGAACTGGCACAAACATAATTTACAAGACTACTCGTCATCAGACTCTAAACATTTTGAACAACTGTGTAAAGGTCTTTGTTGTTGTGATGAGAAAAGAAAAGATAACTAAAACGATCTCTTATTTGACAAAAAAGCCAAGGAGCAAGTGTCATTTGACAGAAAGCTTTTGAGAGCTGCCACGATGCAGTGTTTGGGTCACCACTGGAAGCTGGCAAACACAGTTTTCTCAGAAAAAAAAAAAAAGAGGGGGGGTCGTCTCGAGGCTCACGGGTGGTTGGAGACGGAGCGGTTCGGCGTACAATGAACTCCACAATTCAGCATCTAATCTGTCCCCTTTTCCTCCCCGTCTCTCTTCCCTTGTATTTATTTAATCGTCTTTCCAGTCCCCCGTGTTTATTATTCCGTCTATCTGCCCAGCGGATGGCGATTTTTTATTTTTTTATTTTTTGACACAGCACAGCTCTGACACCGCAATCAACACTTCCCTCTCCAAGTCCACTGCCCACAAGAACGTGAAGGAGAAACAAATAGAGCTCCTGGGTGACCTGAATTTCAAAAATTCACACAGCCCCACATGTACAGGAGACACAAGCTTACATAAAACCCAGCCTCTGATGAATGGAAGGCTTCCCCTCCATCCTTGAGCGTAATTACTTCTTTCTTTCCCCATGTTTGATGTATACACAGTAGCAGCCGGTAATATTGAGCATTCCTTTGACCACCTCGTGAGATGACCTGACCCCTGTTGGTCGATAAGCCAGACTCATACAACTTTCATAGCATTTCATAGAGCAGTTGTTCGGCGTCGAATCTGTCTTGCTGTCGGTCTTCGAAGTCTGCGGGATTTGTTTACAAGCGTCAAGGGTAGAGAAACACAGAGTGAGACTAGGGTGTGAGTTGGAAAGAAAGAGACTAAATTACCAAAAGAGGCAGGAAAGGACAGGGAAAAAAAGGAGAAGGAAAGGAGTTAATGTACCGAGCCCCCTGCTAAAGGTTCCCTGGTGAATGTGCCTGGCTGATGACAGATCGACACCTCAACCCCGCGCTCTATCACTTTCCTGTACATCTCAACACACCAGGGAGCGCACATATACACCCATCTCGCACTGTACAGAAAGTGGCCCCAGTCTGGAAGTAGCTTTTAGCATGAACACAGCGCCAACGACTTCCCGACGGCCCCGTAGATTTCCCTTTTATTCCGTCTCCTTTTGTGTTATTTTAGCGCCGCGATAATTCCAAGTGACACGCTCTCCCCGTCGAGATTTGGCTAAAGCAGCGCACGCAGGAGTCTTAGTTGCTCGGCACATGCTATGCGCTTCTTCATTTGTAAGCGAGAAAGGGGGCTGAATTATTGATAAAGTGTCATAAGTGACCACGTTGCATTAAAAATGGATTTGCTCTCCTGAAATAAGTAAATTGTCTGTGAATAATTTAGGTGACTCACAGCTTGGGTCTGAGATGTTTATGCTAATGTTAACATTTCAAACAACTGTCTTGTACACATGTCCCTGCAGAAATAAAACAAAGTCAACATCTGGCTCCTTCTTCTTCTTCTTCTTCTTTTTTAAATGAGGTACATCTGTAAATTACTTCAGTGATAGTCTCTTGTCATCGCTCCCTCTTTAGCGTTTTCATTGTTTACCCTTCTAGCGCGCCAAAGACTCACAGGTCTCTCAAAGACTGTTGTCACTCTTTTATTTCAGTTCCTCTCTCAACGTGTCACTTATTTATTTATTTATTTCCCCACACTCCTCTTCAGATCTAGGTGTCAGAAGATGAGTGCGGGGACTTAGGGAGGCTTTAAAAATTGTTTATGTGTCCCTCAGATGGATTGTGCGTCTTCTCAAAGAGCGCTCTTTAGTCGAATTACATTTGTTCCAATTCAAAACTTTTTTTTTTTGTATTTCTCTGAAGGACGGTGTCCCCGAGTGTCCTTATGCTTCTCTTTTTCTTATTATTCCTAAACTCTGCCCTCCTTCCTCTGTTGAATTTTGCAGGACCTTGCAGACGGTGGGGCCGTCGCACGCGCGCATTTACACCGTCGCCGTGTATTTCAAAGGAGAGCGAATCGGCTGTGGCAAAGGCCCAAGGTGAGTAAGATGGTACAATATAATAAGACACAAACAAGACAAGGCGTTCTCCTTCTCAATGCACCGCTAATGGGCTCCAGAATAATGGCTGCACTTTATTGATGGTGTTTATTATAGCAATTAAGCTCTGGCTGGCCTATTTTATTGCAAGAGACATTATGCAGCATGAAAGTTGAATCGATCCGTTATTGATCCGATGTAAATTCTGTTATGGAAATATCACTTTTTGCCGAGGAGAGCTTGACGAGGCGGCGCTGCTGCTGGGGCTGTGTTTAGGTCTACCTGAGCTATTGTGTTCACACATATCTATTTATTTTTATTATAACCCCCCCTTCAGTGTTGAGTTGCACACCTTTTGTGTGTGTTCGCATATTCATGCTTTTGTAAAGTAAAGAAAGTGAATCTCTGCGCCGAGGCCTTTTCAGGGTTGGAGGGGTTGACGATAAAGCTGCAGCTGAGCCTGCGAGAAATGAAACCTAAATCCATCAAACATTTTTCGCCCTTCCCCCCACACACACACATGTGAAAATCCCCTCCACGACCCCCTACTTGAAACCGCTCTCTCTTGCACTAAGCTGGCGATAAGTTTGTCCCTTCCACAGAATCTTTGGCAGCTTACTGTTTTTGTATTTACATGACTTAAGCTCCCAGCCACCTCCACTGCTGGGCTATGATCACACACCACATAATATATAAGGAGGGGATGGTGAATTGCAGGAGTAAACAGTGCCCAGCGTAGAGCCGCCGATAGGCTTACCTTTTGGAAATGCGTGCACCGTGTTACCTGAGATTGTTAGCGAAGAAGGGCTCCTTGGAAAACAAATATAATGCACTTTTGATAATCCTCTCAATATTGGTTGTGGGGTATTTTTCTCTTCTTCTTCTTTTTTGACAGGAATTCAAAAAAAAGGACATTTTAAATATGCTAAAGACCTTTTTCTCTCTCTTTCTCTGTCTCCTTTTCTTTAAAAAAAAAATTTCTAATCTAGCATCCAACAGGCAGAAATGGGAGCTGCGATGGATGCGCTCGAAAAATGTGAGTTGTTCGGCAACAAAGACCTCTCCTCGCCACACACACATAAACGTTTTCACACTTTAAGCCCTTCACATGCTTTGCCTCAGTGTTGAATATTAGCTTTGGCTGTACAGTATGCAAGATGGCTGGCAGAGAGCTGTGGCCTGACCAGCCGGTTGGCTGCAACATATAGGACATTAGGTTGTTTGAAGTGCTAGCCCAGAGCACAGGCATGGGGCCTAGCCAGAGATGGAGAAGCAATAAAACAAAGACGGGGGAAGCTAAGCATCCTCGACCACGTCGATCATCCCCGGGGGACAGCGGCAAGTTTGTTTCGAGAGCCACGCAAAGTTTGCATTTTTTTAAAAATGTTGTTTTCAAGCGCTTTTTAGAGACCACGAGAGCGAGGCTGCACACTCTGCTCCGCTCTCTTATGCTCAGCGCTCCTCTTCAGATTTGAAGGAGTGCAGCTGACGCGTCCCCCTACGTGCTGCTTCACTCCTTGGCTGTTTTCCATCTTGTCATTGTCTTTTCATCAAACGCCACTTAAGGAAAATAGGTAATGTCTCATTCGCTGCTAAGTAAAAAATACAATTACACGGCTCTCAGAAACACATCCACGAGCCTCTTCCAACACCTCCAATTTGCTTCCTATACTCTGCATACGTACGTGGGCATAATAACCTCCATTAAACTGAGAGTGGAAAGAGTTTGGTTGTAATGTTTGGACCAGGTTCAGTTGCTATCTGTGTGACCACATTAATCAAATGTACAATTTGTTCTTTACTCAACTAATTAGCTGGAGGTGAACACAAATGGCTTTGTTGGAACAGGCCTGTGGAACTTGCAGAGGGCAGAAAGGTCAAACTTTGATTTCATTTGGCTTCTAAATGAGGCCTCCAGCCACTTGTGATTGATACTGTTTGCGCACCCATGCTTTAGCTTTTTATGAAACATTAGCATTAGTGTGTTATTATTTAAAGCCGCTCTCTCAGCCTCCCTCTCTCCCTCTGCTTTTGGCTCCCTTTTTCCCTCGCCTCCCTCCCTCCTTATCAGGGGGCGTAGTTCAGAGCACACAGTCTCTCTCCTGTGTCATCCTCCCTCCCTTAATTCCACCCGTTTCCTCTCCCCAGTGTACACCTCTGTCACCATGATTGATAGGTGCTCATTCCTAGTAAATGAACATTTCCCCCCTCATAAATTGCTGTTTCATGTGACTAGATTAGCAATGCCTTTTAAAAGGTCAGGTAATTTAAAATCATCTCTCCAAGTCTTCCTTCCTTTGGCGCAAAAAAAAGCTTCCAGTTCTAGAGTTTTTTTTGACTTTGCGCCGTCACTTCATTTAAACCCACTAATTTACAAGTCAGCCGTCAGCTTGATGTACTCTCTGCTCACACCCGACCTGTCTGTTATGTTACTCTGAGCAGTTTTTAAGAACATTTACAGAACTCTGCAGAGATCTTGAGCCACCTCTCTTTATATTTTGTTTGCAAAATGGCATGGAATATTTGTGTGTTTTCCTGTTTGAGCATGATTTTACAGCATCATCAGTGTGTTTGGGATCTTTTTCATGCCGAAACACAAAGCTGTTGCCAATCAAATGCTTTCCATATGCTATTGAACGGTGGATCAAAATCTGATTGTTCTTTGTCGTGCTCATAATTTCATTAGTTTTGACAAAAGCCCAACACCACTGGCTGAAACGCAGGCCCAAACCAAGCGGTCCCCGACCCCCAGGCCATGGCCTGGTACCGGTCCGTGAGTCGTTTGGTACCAGGGCGCAAGAGTTGAGGCTCAGGTGTGAAATTTATGGTTTTCAGGGTTTTTATCGCTAACTCGGTTTCCCTGGGTCTTTTCCCGTGTTGTAGTTGCGTGTCTTATTTTGAAAGAAATATTTACGCGTTACCATAGTAACCAGAGAGCATTAAGGGGCGGAGAGGAGGATGTTACTCTCAATGTTGTTGGTGCATTTCAGGAGGGCGCTGCTAATAAAGTTATTAGTTATTAGACCATCACTCCATCAGACCTGTTTCCACTGATTTTCACTCCAGCTCTTGTGTAATTTGGCATACCTCAGTCTTTTCTCTCTGCTTCCTTTCCTTAAGAATGACTTTGTGACATTCTGATGTACATTCTGAATCGTTTCTCATTTCTTAAGGACATGACTTTCAGCTACTGCTCATCTGCAGTAGATGGGTTTTTTTTATGCCTGCCGCTTCTTCTTTTGTCCTCCACTTGTCAAGTTTCTACAAATTTTTTGGGGGGACGCTCTGCACACGATGCTGCGATATGCCAAGTTTTTAGCTAATAGCTCTTCAGGAATCACCTTGTTGGTACAAAAATACTATTTTATGCCTGTCAAACTGTGTTATCTTTGGTATTTTTCAGAGATTCAGCTAAAGAAATGGGAACAAATTGTGTTTTTGTGACAGGCTGGTAGTAACAAAGTGCCTAAAGATATAATTTGAAATGGTTCTTTGCTAAGTTCGCTGTTATGCGTACACAAAAAACATTCCTGTGAAAGTGGTCAGGTACAAGGCCTGGACTGAAAATAAGTGAAAAAGCTGCCAATGTCTAAAGAAACCCTGAAGAACTGTTGCTCAAAGCAGAAGAAGCTCAGGCTCGAGACTTTTGCACAGCACTGTCGATAATAGCTGCGTTACAGGGAGGTATTCTTAATTAATTGTAGTCGTTTAAGACACGAGTTGTGAGAACTAATGTTGATGAAATGGTTTTAAAAGACCATGAATAATGAAAATCCTTGCAGTTAAACCTGCCTGTAAAAACTTCAGTGAACTGTTGCCTGTTTTTAGTCCAATCGCTTCCATCTTTCACAGATAAGCCTCATTAATTAAAGGTCATATTTATTTCAAATGAAATACAGTGTGCTGATCATTCCTTATTATTCATAACTTAGTGTTCAGGCTTAAAGGAATCACTTTGGTATTGGAAATCATAGAGAAAATTCATTAATTCCATTGTTGAACCTCTTTTTGTTAAGCTAAATATGCAAGGTCAGTCAGCAGGGTTCAAACACACTTTGAAGGATTTGTGTGTCTCCTGACCATGAGCTTGTATAATGAGACTGGAGCTCATCTGCTGCAGAACCGCCTGACGCATCAACTCCTATTGGAGCCGCATTGTCTCTCATGTGATTGTCAAGAGCCTCGCTTCATTTGTTCGCATAGCAAGACTAATCAAGGACATTAGCCCCGGTGTCATGTAATTCGTCATTGATTGTCTTATTGGCCCTCAGTGCAGTACTAGCTTACACCATTACTCCTCGTGTACAACAGTCCTACCTTGTGTTACTCTCGGATCGAAAACAACTCGACGCAACGTGTCAGGATTCATTTCCATGTTTTATTTAAAGCCTCCTCGAGTATCAGCAGCACTTTGAGCAGGATTGAACTTTTTGTTTCTGCTGCAGAGCTTTTCCTGCCTGACAGAATCCGCGGCTCCAGCGGTGTCAGAGAGGTGAGAGACATGGTTGTGTTCAGTCAGACAGCTCAGAGCTCATTAAAGAGACCGGGCCCCAATATTTGGTGTGTGTGCTGTCTGTAGCTGATCCGCTGGTGGCTCAGCTGATTCACATTTCATTATTTGATGGCCCGCGTTTTGACAGTCTCCTGCCTGTGTCTGTCAAGGTAGAATTAAATGTTAACCAAGGCCCAGACTGGAAGAAACATGAGTGCAAACAAATCGAGCTGAGAGCAGCCAGGTAGGCGAACGAAATCGACGTGAGGAAGGAGAGAAAGAAGGAGCCGGTGGTGCAGTGTTTCTGAGGCCCTGGGGCTCCATGCACCATGCACCGTTAGGTCTTAGGCGACATCAAATGTACATGGAAACGGCTTAAGCATTTATCATTCATCCTTACAGATAGTACAGTGTCTGTTTAAAGTCTCCCATCTCTCTATGGCTCAGCCCCTCCCATTCGCTTTTTTTCCCAGCTTCCTCACAGCTGCTTGTTTCTCAAACAATACGGTATCTGTTAAATAAGAGTAGGAGCCTCAATCTGCCTAGTAGCTGGAAGGGGAGCTGCATTCTTTCTTTAGCTCTCTCTAAAACCCTTAATCTCTTGATAAAAGCACTGGATGGAAAGAGGCAAAGTAAAGTACAGTATGCAGGATCTCCATTCACTGGCTTGAATCTTTTGTTTGGCCTTTGGCACGATGGGAAAATCCCTTCATCAGCACCGCTATACAGGCACACTATTGGCTTGTTGACTGATGTTGTGCGTGTGAGCTGTAGGTGATGGACTCGGTCTATTGTGCCTGAGCTGAATGGTGATAGACCAGTGTATGTTCTTGAGCTCTTAGACGGGAGCTGATCTCTCATCACATATTCTACCTCCAGCTGTTTATATTTAAAAAAGGAAGCCAGTGCAGAAGTGCTTTAAAGCTGCATTTTTCTCTAATGACCAGCAGAGGGTGACTCCTTTAGGTAAGTCCAGTTCTGTGGAAATCTATGGAGAAACTGCCTCGACACCCTTAGTCTGTGGTGTCAGTAAACATGGTCTCAGTCAGTAGTTTTCTGTCTTATTGAATCATAGGGCGTCAGCGCATTTGAGTTTCAATTTTCTCAATTTTGATATTCGGCCAGTGAAATCACATTTTACTAGAAAGGAAGGAACACAGTCTGGGTTAATTTCCCAAAAGGAAGCTCGGTTGACTTCTTTCTGCAGCATTTCCCTTAGAAATCCTGGGTAGATAAGTGCTGTTGCAAACAGGCATCCGTCCATCATTCCATGACAGGGTCCTCCAGACATCCTTCTACCCAGCAACACACTCCATTTCCTCCTGAGGGATTCCAAGATGTTCCGGGGGTAGACAAGATATATTATCTCCCGATCAGGTTCTGGGGCTACCCCGAGGGTGTCCTTATACACCGGGGATCCTCCGAAAGGAGGCGCCCAGTTGACTTCCTAATCAGATGCCACCTTGAGCAACAGCTCTACTCCAACATCCTCACCTGTTCTCTAAGGATGAGCCCAGCTTCTTGAGAGCAAACTCATTTGCCAG